AGAAAGAAAGAAAGAAAAATCTGAATCATATACAGATCTGAATATAGGTAAACAATTTTGAGAAGACTTACAAGATATCACCTCTTTAAAAAATTTCTATTAGTAATGCTACTTTATGAAAAAGCTTTTAAATTTATGAACCTATTTTTAATAAAATGAAAAGAGATTTTCACTTTAAAACAACGAAAAGACCTAAAAACTTAAGTAACCTCAAAGTTATAAGAAAACCATTCTTCCTGAACTATCTAAAGACACTTCCATAAACTATTTTCCTATTAAATGCCTTTAAAAACAGTAATACGGGTTTCATGTCATTATATTGCATTATAGACATTACACAAATTATTTTGCTTTACTAATTTGAAGTGCAAAATTTTCTCTTGAAACAACTTCGGACTTGTATGTTCATGCTGACATTTTTATCACAATTCAATTTGATAAAATTTTACATTTTAAATAGTACCGTTTTTTTCATGTACTAAATAAAAGCCCTTTAATCTAAGAAGCTAAGACTGCAAAGGGATACTTAGTACTGCTTAGGTTTCTAATGTGCATGAAAACAGCAAGTTTTATTTATTAATGTAATTTACCTATTTGAGACAGAGTCTCACTCTGTCACCCAGGCTGGAGTGCAGTGGCAAGATCACAGCTCACAGCAGCTTCAAAAGCTCCTGGGCTCAAGCAATCCTCTTGCTTCAGCCTCCCAAGTAACTGGGACTACAGGCGTGCACCACCATGCCAAGCTAAGAAAGCACATTTTAGTGAAAACTTTTAAGTAATTCTAGAGTAAAAGTTCAGGGTTCAGATCCTTGTTCTTGGTAGTTACTAGATGCACGGCCTTAGGCAAATCACCAGAACTCTGATTCTGTTTCCTGACCTAAGCATTCTAAAAAATGGCTATCATCACCTCCATCACTTGGGTAGGTACAAGGTGCTATATTACTGCTCAAAAAGTAGCCACTCAGTAACTCTTAGTAACTTCCATTCTCCTTTCTTACTAGTATCAAACTAAGATCAATGCACTAATCTAACAAAACAGTCAATCAATAAATGTTCCCAAGGTTAAATACAGGAATAAATTCAAATCATAGACAAACAAAAGATGAAAGAAACAAGTTAGCTAATATTTGTTCAAATAACATACTCAAGACATATCTATGCCTCAACTACAGTTAACTGCTAGTCAGCAATAACCACATGACCTTCCTCACTTCAGAGAAACTTAGAGGTTGTAAAGTCCATCCAATGCTTAAAATTAAGGGACAGAAATGCAGGGTTCAGGAAAGAGTGCATGCAATTTAGAAGAATAACCAAATAGCCACAATGTTTCTGCAAAGATATAAATTCCAATGCAGTGCACTTACACTTCTGACCTTTAGCTCCAACATACTTCAGCACTAGTACGTTACACATAACCCTCTGCTAACAAGTAGTATTTTCCAAAACCCATTTTTTTCTTACTTCATCCATTTGGCTACTTCACGAAAAGCAGAAAACTTTATATTCCTAATTTGTATTTCTAATAGCAAGAAATTATTACTATTATTATTATTATTATTTTGAGACAGAGTTTCATTCTTGTTGCCCAGGCTAGAGTACAATGGCGCAATCTCAGCTCACTGCAACCTCCGCCTCCTGGGTTCAAGTGATTCTCCTGCCTCAGTCTCCCGAGTAGTTGGGATTACAGACATGTGACCAGCTAATTTTTTTGTATTTTTAATAGAAACAGGGTTTTTCCATGTTGGTCAGACTGGTCTTAAACTCCCGACCTCAGGTGATCCACCCACTCAGCCACCCAAAGTGCTGGGATTAATAAATTATTATTCTTTTCTCCTTGCTATTGTAGTTACTCTAAACTGTACAGTCTAAAGAATGGATTTCTCCTTTTTCCATCAAAAAAAGGATTACAATTAGAAACAAAATATACTGAGTGGTAGATACCATGTATATACAATGATCAAAATTCAAACCAAACACTTAAGATGTGTAGATTTAATTGTATAAATAATACTCCAACTTTAAAAGTTCATATTAATCACAATTTCATAAAAAGGTTGAATGAGAATATACATTTGAAGGAATATTTGAAGAAATAAAACCAACAACCAGCTTTTCAAAAAATAAACAAATATTACAAGGGAAAAAAACAGATCCAGGGAGAACCTAGGGATTAGAAGATACTAAAGGGACATACCAACCAATGTAATATATAAACCCTAATTCAAACAAATGAGAAACATAGGAAATCATGAGCTATTTGGGAAGCTTTTAACTCTGATGGAAAACTTGATTTCAATAATTAATTCATTTATTGAATGTGTAGTTATATTATTTAAGGTACTTTTATGTTTAAAAAAAGAATAATCTTTGGCCAGGCACAGTGGCTCACACCTGTAATCCCAGCACTTTGAGAGGCTGAGGAAAGCGGATCACGAGATCAATAGCTCGAGACCATCCTGGCTAACACAGTGAAACCCTGTCTCTATTAAAAATACAAAAAAATTAGCTGGGCGTGGTGGTGCGTGCCTGTAGTCCCAGCTACTAGGGAGGCTGAGGCAGGAGAATTGCTTGAATCTGGGAGGCAGAGGTTGCAGTGAGCCAAGATAGCACCACTGCACTCCAGCCTGGGTGACAGAGCGAGACTCCATCTCAAAACAAAACAAAACAGGAGTAATCTTCATCTTTCAGAAATAAATATTTAGAGGTGGGACATGGTGGCTCACACCTATAATCCCAGCACTTTGTGGGGCCGAGGCAGGTGGATCACCTGAAGTCAGTTTGAGACCAGCCTGCCTAATCTGGTGAAATCTCGTTTCTACTAAAAATATATTAAAAAAAAAAAAAACCTAGCCAGGCATGGTAGCACGCGCCTGTAATCCCAGCTGAGGCAGGAGAATCACTTGAACCCAGGAGGTGGAGGCTGCAGTGAGCCAAGATCACGCCACTGAACTCCAGCTTGCGCAAACAAGAGTGAAACTCCATCTCAAAAAAAAAAAAAGAAAAGAAAAGAAATACATATTTAGAAATACATACTAAAGTAATAACATGATGCCTGAGTTTACTTCAAAATAATTGGGAAAGTTAGATGAAGATGATTATCCATGAATTGTTGAAGGCAGGTGATCAGTACAAAGGAGTTCATTACTCTGTGCGTGTGTCTGTGTGTGTGTGTGTGTGTGTGTACTGCATTAAACCTGTTTTGGAAAATTCAAATTGCCTATTGTCGAAACTGTACCAATGGCCCAAGGTTTGTTCAAGCATCATTTATTTAG